CTACAATCTGCTTAGCTGGATTATAGGATTCACATCACTGCTTAACACATGGGGGGATGTGTGCACTTTGCTCCACTAACAATCTGCTCTTATCTTTTGAACTGTAATAACTTGAGATGGAGAGATTTTGCCTAAAGTTCCACTTTCTCATTTAGTATGATCCAAAACAGGACACTGACCTGAACTTGTCTACAATTTTTAGATCTTTAGGTTTCCTGCTTGTGCTATATATATATATATATTCACCAACATAATACACTGGGTCCTGGCCTTTCCATTGAAGGGCAATGTTAATAATGCAGTATACAAAAACATTTTTACACAATTGTGAGCTTCCAGTCTCGGGGCAAGAGTTTGAAGGGCCCCTTTTTCTGTTCCAGCTTGACTGCGCTCCTGTGTACACAGCCAGCGGAAACCAGGACATGGTTTCAGGAGTTTGGCGTGTAGGAATTTTTAATGGCCTTCAGAGCCCTGACCTTAACCCTACTGAGCACCTTTCGGAACAATTAGAGCATAGATTGTGAGCTAGGTCTTCTCATCCAACATCAGTACCTGACCTCACAAAAATGCTCTTTTGGGTGAAATGAGCACAAATTCCACTAGAAACTCTCAAATACTGGAGAAAGTCTTTCCAGAAGAATGGAGGCTGTTGTATACAGTTGTCTCACCCTCCCTAACTCTTTGTGGCTATAAGTGTCCATAGTTTTGGAATGCAATGCAAACAACCTTATGTAGTTGTGATAGTCGGTGTCCTCAAACTTTTAGCGCTATAGCATGTCTCGGTTCATATTCAGTATACATCATTGTCACTTCAATACCGGTAACGCTTTTGAATGATGGCTGTGTCCATCGCTCTGGCTCTTGGATGACGTCTAATGTTGCCTTCACGTTCTCATACACATGGTCAATACAGGGTTGTCCATGTGAGAAACTCCATGTGAACGGCCTACAAACTTGAGTTTAGAGAATTTGGGGAAAAAACAATGCTACTTGGATCTCTGTGATCGTAGGTTTGCTCACGTGAACACGGCATTAGAGATTTACGTAGATGGAGCTCTGCTAATCTGGGTAAAACAGGGAAGAGTAGACACATGGCTGTAGCTGACTGTTCAGTGATGTGTTATCAGGAGTTGGTATTGCTCTATAAATGTCTTGTATTTAGGCAATAGCAACAACCATTAGTCCTGGGAGACTGGCACAGTGGTGCATAGTGAGGAAATTTGTTTGAAGGAGAACTATGAGGTGAGTTCTTTTCACTCACCTCATAGTTCTAGCCGACCTGTGACAATGAGACTGCCACAGGTCGGCTCAGTAGATCGGGAGGTGAGCGAACACATACCGGCGTTCGCTCACCTCTCGATCCTGTCACGGCTGTGGATTCTCCCCGATCCGCCAGCGCTGACTGGCAGAACGGACGGGGTAGGGGGCGGGTACAGCTGGCTCTGCCTCTAGATAGGCAGAGCCAGCTGTCAGTCAGGCAGCTGGACGGATCCAGACATAATTGTCGGGATCCGCTTCAGCTGCGGCGTTGCAGTATACCGCGAGCTACGGCTCGCTATATACTGAGCCTAGGGTGACGGGAGGACGCTAGTTTGTGCCCTCCCGTTACCCTAAGAACTATGGGGAAAAGTCTTAACCCCATAGTTCTCTTTTTTTAAGAGGCTGAAGCTTTATAGAAATGATTTACCTGGATCCTATGTACCACTTTCCCTGTGAGGGGACCTGCTGTCAAATATTTAGTTTGCTGCAACTGCCTCCAGCTCTACAATCTGCTCTTGAATGAGTCTTGTAACACCTAAGAATCGTGTATATAGTGAGCATTCTGCATGACTTTGTAAAGTTTAACATCCATGTTCTGTCACTGGAGATCGTAGTCTGATCTGACTGTAATAGAAGCCAAAAAAAACCTTGTAGAGTTAATTTTTTATTTGCAGAAAAAAAAAAAATTCTCGGTGTACACCTTCCTCTTCCTTATGGTTGTGTTTGCCATTGTCCCTTTTTTTTTTCTCTTTTGTGAGTAACTTCCTGATAAGTCGTACCAGGAGTTAAATGGCACAAGCTGTTCTAAAATGTTCACTGAAAATTTATAAGGAAAAAAGTTTTATTTTCTATTACTCAATGATTGTGAGTACCAGGAAAGATGGTTTGGTGACGAATGGGCGACATGAGTACCTGAGAAACTGAGTAATTGAGGCAACAGAGCTCTTTAGGCCTCATTCACACACAACGTAAGCAAAATTGTCTATGCACGTATATGCGTGCACTATATGCAATCCCAGAATGCATCACTCGTAATGGAATTTTTAATGTGCTGTACGCGCATACATGCACGTAAATACGCTGCCCGGACGCATCTTTGTTCCATTCTGTTTTTGCGCATATATACGCTACGCAAATATACAGCTATATACGCGGCTGTGTGTATGGGGCCATTTATTTGCATATGGTACAATATGCACATACGTGCGGCAGTGTGAATGAGACCTTATAGAGAAGGAAACTGCCTTCAAATGTATTTCTTAAACGTTTGCAAACCTTGTGGAAGGCAGAGCATGTGGCTCCTCAGAGACATTGTGTGATGGCAGCTTTTGTTAATGAATGATCTGCGTCGGCTTCTCTGCTAGAAAGAGTTTTGTCTTGTTAGTGCTGACAGGCTAGCATTTATGTTTATGGGCTATTTTATTTTTTGCTGTGAGCTTATGTTGTAGCTGATACTGGACTTGCAATAATGCTAGGTTCAGCCAGTTTAAAGCTGAAAGGTCGATATGAAGTTTCGCTGCCTGTGCGTAAGTCCCCCTTATGTAAGGCTGCCTCCCAAAAAGCGGCGAAGGGAAGGTCATCATGCACAGTAAAATAGTATTTTTGTCCCCCTTCAAAAAAAATTGGTATTTTGAGTAAAAACGGTTACTGCAAGTCAAGACTTGGTTAAAATGACATTTGCCTGTCCTGAAAAAATTCAAAAGCTCTGCCCACCAACACCTGCTGTTTTTCTGCTCTGTTTGTAATGTTCACCATTTTGCTATGGTGGGATTTCCACAAAAGTCCCCTGCTACTTCCCTATACCACCTTGCATTTGCAGTCCTCTCCTTGTACTTTCAATAAACTAATCCATTCATCAGGGAGGTAAAGACGTCCGATGGTTGTATCCGGTGGCGGGAGTTGGGACCTGAAGAACAAGACACTGGGGGTTCTTGCAGATGCATCCACGCTAGTCCTCTCTGGCATTCCCACCCTGAAATTTCAGTTTTAGGGTACTGTGACCCCCCCCGTAGCTAGACTTGAGTTTCTTTTTAGGCCTTGTGTAGAGAAATCTTAAACTGGTTGCTCGGTTATGTTCCTTGTCTAAAGAGTGCTCCGGAAACCAGGTCTCAAAGGGTGTATTAAGCTTGTAGGTCCACTCCTTTTTCATGAAGTTGGACTCTCTCCCTTAAAGTTGAATAGTATAGAGGACTGAATGCTTTTCACATGGCCAATCTAAAATCTGTCCAAATAGCTAGGCAGTCAACTGCAATCAGTCCGTGGTTCATCTATTGTACACAATTTCAAATCTTTGGGGCTTTATCCTGAAAGATCAACCTGTATTTCGTCACTTTGTCCTTATGGCATGGGGGGATTGACTGTTTGGTTTGCTTTTTGGATTGCTTTAGTGATCGGCAATGATCCTTCTGCTAATTCTATTCTCCATGGTCACTTAACTGGATCAGTTTTATGTACTCAAATGGCATACTGTGGTTTTTGTACTTTAATTTCACAATTCAGGGCTCCAGTTTTCATCCAAGTTTGAGTAATTTGAAGTCATTCATGTACTGCATGGTCCTAGGACAGATTTCTCAAATCTGTGTGTGAGAATCCATTCTAATCAAAGCGGAGAGTCTTAGTCCAAGGGTCCTTCAAAAGGTTACCTACCTAGACATGTGTGTGTGTGTGTCTTTATAGCAGCCTAGATATTGAATGCCCCTCATAGTGTATATACCCCATTTTATGAAAGCTGTTAATTACCAAATAGCCCCTATTTAGTTTGTCAAAATGGATCTACTATTATCCATGGGTACCCTGACTACCAATACCTCCCCAGGTGTGTATGATTGTGTATAGATGGATCACATATTTGCACAACTGATCTGAGAAACCTACTCAAAGGCTCTGAAGCTCCCCTTGGACTCATGTACGCTCTTGAGAATGGGAACATTCCACATGTTAAGAACCAGTTCTTTAATGTCCATGAACCTGGTCAGTAATGACTTTACAGATTTCACTACAGTATTTAAGAACATTCTTTAGTCATGGCTTCCCTGCTGTTCATACCCATAATCCCCTGTAACGACCTTAATCCAATACACTACAGCATTGTGTCCCCATGGCTCTTGTAAAAATGTAGCCCTTTTTCTGTAGCTGTTACTTTCTTTATGAAGGTATTCAGGTCTTTGGAGGTTTATGAGGACTATAGGCGGCACATTTTCAGGGAATTTTGCACAAGATGACGCATCATGGTTTGGCTGCTATAGTTTGAATGTAACTTGATATATAGATGGAGCTATATTCATATTAGCAGTGAAGTTGGTTGGATATGTCCATATGCTTTCAGGATACTAAAATGTTTGTTTTTTTTTCTTCTCCCACCAGGTCCTTTACCAGATAAAGTGGTTAATGGGGGCCTCGAAAAGGTAATTCTACCTAATGGGGTATTTGACTTGTGTTGCTGTTAAATATTATTTCTTGTGTTTTTTAGACTGCTTTTAATTTTGTCTTTGCTTGACAGGAGAACAAGCCAGAGCATTTGGAGAATGATAGTCCCCGAGATTCGTTGATATCCAATCCAGAACCAGAGCCACTAGAAAACCCACCTCAATTGGAGGCACAGAAGGTACATATGTGTATTTCATGACTCCTTCAAAGCTGTGATATTGAAATTGACTGACTGCCTAATTATAAATCCGAACTTCAGGCAGATATAAAAGGCACAAACTAATGCAACTCTGTATGTGTGTGTATGTATATGTATATGTGTGTATATGTATATGTATATATATATATATATATATATA